CACATCTACTCACCTTGAGTTTGTATCATTAAGAGGATTCAAGCTGGGCATGGTGGCTCATGCCCGTAATCCCAGTGCTTTAGGGGGTGAAGGCGAGAGGATTGCCTGAGCCTGTGGGTTTGAGACCAGCCAGGGCAACATGGTGAGACTCTGTCTCTACAATAAATAAAACAATTAGCTGGGCATGGTGGCACACACCTGTAGTTTCAGCTACGTGGAAGGCTGAGGCAGAAGGATCTGAGTCCCGCAGATCGAGGCTGTGGTGGCCATGAGTGTGCCACTGTACTCCAGCAAGGGCAACAGAATAAGACTCCGACTCGGAAAAAGAGTATTCAGAGAAGCCCCAGTGGAAAGCCAGGGCATCAATAGAGTCTTGATCTGTCTTGCTGCTTCTCCAGCTTAAAAAGAAGCAAACAAAAAACCAGTTCCACCCACCAGTCCAGTGCCCTTGGAGATGCCAAGAAACTAGAGACGCCATTGTCAAGTTCCTTTCCTTCCCAACCTCTTTCCTTCCTACGTTTATTCATTTTTTAACATTTTCATTCATTCTAAAAACCCCATGGCCTCCTAAAACTGTACAGTTGTCCTCAACACATTTGTCTCCTGAGGTTCATTTTTCTGACTTTATTTCTATTGGATGTAAAGGTCCCATTATTCAAGGTGCTCACAACCTCTATGTACAAATTATGTGAAAAAGTCCAGCCCACACAGGGGGCGCCCTGCTCACTCTCCCTGGGTAAAAGAGGGTTGGTGTTGGCTTAAGAGCTTTTGATCTGGAAGACTGTCCCTACAAACCCCATTACAGCCAGGGCTGCCTGTCTGGGGATCCCACCGGTCCCCAGGTATATCATACCACTGACCCTGCATTCCAACACCAAACCATGAGCTTCATGAAGGCATTTCCCCTCCTGGAGTTGCAGTCGCGTCAGCTCAGATCTTACACACAGTGGTCATTCTGCTACCTCCTCAGGGGCCTTACTGGAGACTCCTCGGTGGAGTCTGTTTTCCCAAGTCTTACTTCAGTGGCATAAAGCTAAGTCTGAGTAATAGAGGCTATGTTGTTTAACCCAGTTGCAAAAACCATCCTAAGCGCAAATGTTCCAGATTCAGTGGAAATCTTAAGGGAAACTTTAAATAGTTTTAATCAAATAGGAAAGTCTCTTACTGAGCTCAGAATGAATTATGCTAATAAAACGACTTCTTTTTTTTTAACCGGTGAAAGATATTAAAGGTAGATTTAAAAGTTAATTTTGCTTGCAATGTATCATTGTTCCCACAAACACATCGTGAATTAGTTTTCAATGAATGTAATTATTGTGAAGCACCTTTTGTCAAGGATACTCACACACACACACACACACATACACACACACACACACGCACACAAAGAAAGTCCTGCCTCTCTCCCTGGAGGCTCTGAACTGTGAAGGCTGAAACCAACTGCTGCTTCTCCTCATGCTGCCAGACTCAGTGATTCCAGAGGGTTTAAGCCTGCGGGAAATGAGAGAAAGGGGTCAGTCACGGGACAGAGGAGCCACAGATCCTAAATCAGGGCACATGCACGAGCTCTCCGGCGGGAATCGCAGGAAGGGCTGGTGCATGTTCCCATTTCCTTTTCAAGATGCAGAGGTTCGACGTCTGGAATTATTTATCTCTGAGATATCGTCTGAAACTTCATCTGGTTGTGAGGACATTGCTGGGTTTTTGAAAGGAAATACTAATTAGATCGATTTTCAAATTTAATTTCAGTATGTTGAATGTCTGCTTAAATTCTATATCAAATGTTTCTCTACTCATGAATTGGTTCTGTCATCAGTTTGTGAGGATTTTCTATTTATAACAAACCTGATTGAACCTAAGAGTGATAACATGTACCTAGATAAAACACAGACACACGCACGCATATCATCACGTACAAATATAAAAATATAGCTAGACATATTTTCTCAAAATCTGGACAGTATATTTGGATGCCCTTACTTAGAACGCGGGTTCTAGGTCACATAAGAAGTTCACCTTGGAAGGTTCCTGCTGCTGTCTTAAAGAGACAGGTGGTTTCCAGAACAATGTAAAGCAGGGTTCAAAAAGAGGCCCCAGTAACAGCCCATCAGAGAAGAAAACAAAAATGCCTTAAGGCTCCGTGTACAAGGAAACAAACCGGGGCAGGCCTGAACTGCAAATTAAAAATCCTAAGGACAGACTCTCCATTTGTAGGTCTTGGTCTGCAATTCAGCTGCTTCTCAGCTGGACACCTCTGTGTAATGGACATCAGGATGAATGACAGCAAGCATTCTAAAATTGAACCGCATTTAATAATTCTCCCTAGAAACGATACGAAGTCCAGCTAGTAACAAATACATGTTTGAGAACACATCAAGGGACTAGGTAGCCGGGGTCCAAACATGCTTCTTAAGAACTTTCCTAAAGTGCCTCAGAATGTGATCCAGAGACTGTTAGACTGTTCCCGAGAGCCACCGTGTACCACCTGAAGCCAGCACAAAGTATGGTGCCAGCCACAGTGTATGGGTTCAAGCATTGCTGAATATAAAAATAAATCTCCCATGCATTGATTTATGATTTTTGTAACTTCTTCCTTCTTAAAATGTATATAACCAAACCGCGACAGGAAGCATACATTCTCAGGACCTCCTGAGGATGGGTATTCCCAGACCGGGTCACTCAGATTATCCGGAATAAACCAACTTAAAATATATTTTTTAAAAGAATCGACTGTTTGGGGCAGCTATGAATTCAGATGCAAGGAGATACAATGAGTACAATAAGAAAAATTTAAAAAGACCTAGACACACAGGTAAGTAAGAATAAAACACGAGGAAAGAGACTCCATCTCCAAGCCACACAGGCTGCCTTGGCACTACACATCGGGTCTAGAGCTACGTGAGGTTGACAAGATGGACAGTGCTTGGGATGGGATGAGGCTAGTTTCCATCTTACCCTTCATACCTAGATATTTACATACATTTAAATCATACAAACACATCAGCCCCATCTGTGTGTGGCATAATCTTCATCCAGCAAGTGTCACGAGAGATGTGTTGACCAACATGCAAAGGAAATGTCCAGTCACTTGCACACACACCTCTCCTCTCCTTTCCTGAAGTCCACCTGCTCCAGCTTCAATAAAGTGGAGACCAAGCAGAGATCTGACCTCCCTTAGGACTGGCCACTGCCTCCGGCTTATGAACCTTCACTTGCTCTACCTACCTCCACATCAGAGTGTGCATGTGTGGCTTCCCCAAAACCACTCCCCTCTGTTCCTCTTGAAATGCTCTTCCTCTGACTTCCGTGACATCACTCTCCTCGTTTTTCCATGATGTCATTGGCTGCTCCTTGTCTGTTTCCTTCCCAGTTATATACTCGTGCCTTAAATGCCCGTGGTCCCTGAGATTCTGACCTCAGCCCTGCTGTCGTCCGCATCATCTCTCCTGAGAGGCAGTGCAGCATCAGGGTGGAAGGTATGGATGCTGGAACCACATTGCCAGGGTCTTGCCATTTCCCGACTATGTGTGAGGCCGTGGGCAGGCTCCCTGGTATCCCTGATGTCTCCTCAGTTATAAAAGAGGACTAATAACACTACCTGCTTCATAGAGTGGGACGGAGAAGTGAGTTCAGATGTGTGAAGTGCATATGGAGCGCAGTAACTTCTAGGTGATACAGCGTGGCTTCAACTATCGTTTAGTTGAATAACTCTGTTAGCTATTTGGTCAACATTATTCTGATTCGTGGATAAACTCCAATTCTCTCAACCAGATATTTTCCTGAGCTTCAGTTCCATTTAGCCAACTGCCTGCTAAACATTTCCAGTTGCATTTATGACACCCACACTCAACATTCACCAACTAACTCATTTCTAGTTTCCCAATCCTGCTCCGGCCAAAACTTTTAGATTCTTTTTCCAGATGAATAACAGTGCCATCCATCCAAAGGCCCAAGCCTTTGAGAGTCAATAAAGTCCTCTGCCTCTGCCCCAAACATCCAACTGGGCATTAAGTCTTTTCAGCTTGCCTTCCTAGCGAACGTCTCTTTTGGATTACAACACAAGCCCCGTCTCTGGCCTCTTTCCTCCCAGCCACCCTTCTCCATATTGCAGCTGGGACCTCCATCCTTTTAATTATGTTTTCATCATCCTTTCCATTCATCTTCAGGATAAAATCCACAGTGTTTAGCATGGCATATGAGTACTTCACCAATGTGCTCCTTTCTTTCTCTCTCATTTCGTCTGGTTCCAGCCATCTGAATCTAGCTACAATCCCCAAAGTTGTCACCATCTCCTCCACCCTCAGGCCTTTGGCTAGTGTGACCTGAAATGCCCTTACCTCCATTTTCTGTCTCAATAACTCCTACTCCATTATGATATCTCTAATTCTCAGAACACTACTCCTAATTGAATTAAAAAAAAAAAAAGCTAAAAGATAGTTAACAGATGCTACAGTTTGTCAGTATAGTTTGCCCAAAATGGAATAAAATTCCATTTATGCCTTTATTTCTGAGACACTAAATGCATTTTGCTTTTAGTCATTTGTTTTTGCTTTCCATTGACTAATAGCAACTTTTGGGAGAGAAACCAGAGGGATGGAATATGAATTGGAATATGTTGTCTCCTCACATGTTATAAGAGATCTAGATAGTGAGGAAAACTTGGAGAAAAACACAAACGAAAAGGGGAGGAGGTGCTCAGCCAGTCATCCTTCCCTCCTCCTTTGCCTCTTCTCTCTTTCTCCCCCTCTCTTTCCTCTCTCTCCTCTGTCTCTCTGTCCTGTCCTCCCTCTGTATGTCTCTTTTTCTCTGTGTGTGTCTGTCTCTGTCTCTGTCTCTCTCTCACACACACACACACACACACACACATACACACACATTCTCTTAAGGGTAAAAATTACTCTGTGTTCTTTTAAAATCCTTCAGTTTTCATATTTTATTGCTGCAGGAGCCTGCCTCCGGCCTCCTGAGGTTCTTGTGTAGACTGGCTATTTCCCTCTGTAAAAAAGCTGTGTAGTTGGCTCCCACCTGGTTTGGAAGAGTCCAAGGAAGCGGCTCTCACAGTCCCGGCTCCTTCCACGCCCCTCCTCCCCCATCCTGGTTGGAGCAGTGAATCTGTGGCTCCCAGGCCAGAGACAAGGCAGACAGAGGTCCGTTTGTGAAGACGCTCCTTCCAGCACCTCCTCTCCTGCCCACACTCACCCAGTGAGCTGGAGCATTTAAGACGCTTCCTCTGCTCAGAAGACCAAAAGAAAAGAAGAAGAAAAAGGTATGTAATTGTTTTTCTCTTTAAAAACACATTTTGTGTCATTTATTCTACTCTGAACTGCTGCTGTAGATTACAGCAAAACTGCATGTCTGTGTTCAGTCTGAAGGGAAAGACAGAAAGAGATGCTGCGTGCACTTTGGGAAAGGGGATGCTTCCTGAGATACAGCAAATAATCAGATTAAGAGAGAAGAGAAAATGTGTCTTCTTTGATTATGACATTCATTTAGTCACAGGCTTAAAAGGGCAGACTCCTCGCTGCTGTTCAAGTAATGTCCAAATCCACTCTGACTCTAGTCCCACAAAAAAAACCCAATTATCCCCCCTTCAGAACGGCATGAGGATTCTGGCGTATATAAGATTGTTCTCAGGGCAGTAGCTGTATATATCTATATTACCTACTCTCCAATGTCTAAGAAAGCAAGAGTATTTTACTTTTAAAAAATCCTGATTCCTGAAAAGCTGGTACCAATGTGTGATACAAAGAGGGGATTCATTGAATTCGTCCTTGGTGCCCATCCCTGGCACACAACTGTGTCTGTACTGTTCACATAAAGAGAACATTTTCTTCCTTGGGGATTTAGAAAAATTCCTTTAAGATTCCTTAACTTAGTTTCATGGGCTATGAAAAGCTCTCCCAAATGCGGGACCTTTTTTCCAGTTGATGGAGATTTACTGTGGCCAGGAAGACAATTAGGGTGAAAGGACTGAATGGTAATTATCACTCCCTGGGATGCTCTGAAAGCAGATCACCTGCAGGGAGGATGTGGGCTTTGTTTCTCCACTGATGAAGGTGTATTGGGTGGTTAGGCTAATCCGACTGTTTTAAGGATCTTTAAAAGGCTCATTTGCTGTTTTTTAAATACTACGTTTGTTCCTTTAACACACACTTTGAGAAATTTCACTTCAGGACCCAGTTGTTCTAACACAAACCTCTTCTAAGGCGGTAAATAGGAAAAAGAGAGAGTTTTGAGAATGACAGTGATTTTCATCCTCCAAGGAAGAACGCATGGTAAACGTCACAACCTGGGCGGCAATTTTAATCTCTCCCAACTACAGTTTTGACACCTCAAATGTCAAATTCTGGGCTGGGGCTATCATTGGCTTTTGCAGCTTTGCTTCTCCATCCTGCTGTTTTTTGAAGGAAACCTGAAAACGGACTTCCCTTTCTGTCTAATTCATCAACTCCATCTTGTTCCACTGCTTGAAATACCAGTTCCCAGAACAGACATCAGCTGCCCGGATGGGCACCACACCATAGGTGTCTAGATACTTACACTACACAGCCCTGTTAGTTTTGGCCATTATGTGGGATAATTTTAAAGTCTCCCTGTAACTCCAGCCATTCAAAAGCTTGCTTGTGCCAAATGCCCTCACAGAAGCAAAATGTGAAAATGTGCAATTCCCTACCAAATGATAGAGGCCATGATTTACTGCTCAGTTGGAAATGTCTCATAATTCTGTCACTTCTGCATTGATCTTTAAAAAATTCCACCATTATTGGGATATGCAGATTATCATACAGTATCAGGAACAAAGTGAATTACACAAAACTGAATCCAAAAAAACCAGTGGAACAGCCGGGCTCGGTGGCTCAGCCTGTAATCCTGCGCCTTTGGGAGGCTGAGGTGAGTGGATGGCCTGAGCCCGCGGGTTCGAGACCTGCCTGGGCAGGCGAGACCTCATCTCTACAATAAATCAAAAAAATTAGCCGAGCATGGTAGCATGCGCCTATAGTTCTAACTGCTTGAAAGGCTGAGGCGGAAGGACTGCTGGAGCCCAGCAGGTTGAGGCTGCGGTGGCCGGGAGGGCCACTGCACTCCAGTCTGGGTAACAGTGAGACTCCAACTCAAAAAAAAAAAAAAACCAGTGGAACCAACTACCTAAGGTTTTCTCACTTAAACCTTCAGATGTTCAGTATTTCACTTTGTTTGCTTTTGTAATTTGGGTATACTCCAGGAAGAATTTTAAGTGCATGTACCTCAACCAAAAGAGTAAAAAAAAAAAAAAAAAAAAGTAGAGCAAGTTGCTTCGAATCAGCCAAAGTCATTTCACTCTTGTTGGCACCTGAAAATATATGGTTTTGATGGATTGCCAAGGATTAAACTTAGTGTCTTTGAATAAAAAACAAAACAAAAATGTATCCCAGGAACATACTGGCCCAGACATTTTTCCATTTGCTAAATAATAGTTAAAGCTATTTATCTATGCTTAAGTAAAGGAAGAAGAGATGGCTTCAGTTAAAAGACATAATTTATAATGTGTACAAAAGAAAAAAAACCACATATATAAAAACTACCAGTAGGTGCTTGCCAGGTGTGGAACTGGAACTTTCCGTTGTAGTATGCGACTGAGCCTGTGGCAGACACACCATTTTGTGTTCTGGCATAGACACAGTCAGAAGAGGTACAGGGTGAAGCAGTATACCTACTTACTTGGCCAACAGTCTACGTGTTCACTCCTTCAGTGGATGTTTTGAGCACTTGCCATGAGCCCAGCAATGAAGCAGGCACTCTGAGAGATGCAAAAGAAGCAGAAGGGACAGTCCTTGCCTTCCTGATAGCAGCATCCCCCTTCTGGTCCTCTGAATACTGGACCACTCCAGGCTTCCGCCCTTTACCTTGTTTCTTCCTAGTTCACACTCACTGTCCTGCCAGACCCCATAAACACATCAATAAATATCCTGATTACTCTGGATTTGTGTTTCCAGCCCTGATCTTTCCACTCATATTCAACTGCTTACCCAGCATCTTCACTTGGATGTCTAATGGGCATCTCAAACCTGACTTGTCCAAAAACTTACTCTTGAATTCCACTAAAACTGGCTTCTTCCACTGCTTCCTCAGTTCAATAAATGACAGAGTCATTCAAGTTAGGAACCTAAGAGTTATCCTTGCTTCTTTCCTTTGTGTCTCATAGCTCCTATCAATTCCCACCAATAGGATCATGCCAGGTCTTCCTTCCTGGCTATAGGTCAATTCACAAAATGACCAATTCACTAAAGCGTTGATTATCTCTTGGTGAATTTCTCCCTCTCCATATCCAATTGTAGCTATATTCTCCACATGGCTAACCAGCTTATGAAAAATGCTGACAATGCCAAGGTGTTAGTCATCTCCAGTCCTTGCCGGCACAGATTACATGTAGGTGCTGTGGGAACTTAGAGCATGGGGGCTGTGAGAGTGGCATTGTCAGGGGTCAGGGAAGGAGTCTTAGGAGATGTAAATTTGAGGTTTGTCTCTAGTGGATGCTTTGATCAGAAATTAGCATAAAGGGAAGAAGTGAGAAGGAACAACAAGGCAAAGACACACGTATAGGATTACAGAGATGACTGGTCCATCAGGCTGTCTCAACAGTAGTGAATGATAGGCATGGAGAGGAGTGAAAGGAAAGTCTTAGAATTGGCCCTAACAACTCCACACAGGCTTTCAGGTAACACGAAACCTCTATAGGCTCTTGCCTAGGATGAAAATGCATTTTTGGAAAACCATCCACTCAATTCAACAAACATGGGCAATGCATTGTATTAAACACTGGGTGTGTGGTAGTGAACAAAATATTAATGGATTGCTTTCATTCTAATGGCAATGACAGACATAAAATAAGTGAACTCACAAGTATATAAACTGTGGTTAATATCATTAAGGAAAAGAAAAGGGCACTATGAAAGAAGAGGTGGAAACTGAGACCTCAATGTTGAGAGGAGAGCCAGCCAAGAAAAGAACAGTCTCGGCAGAGAGGGCAATATATAAAAAGGCTACTGCTAAACAGCAACACCATAGCATAAGAAAGCATGAAACTCATTGATAAGGTAAATGTATATACAAATATGAACTACTGTATTACTGTAATGATCGTGAGTAAATTCCTTTTAATTCTAGCATAAAAGTTAAGATATGAAAATATTAAAACGATACTACCTGCATAATGAGTATTTGTATATCTAACCCCAAATTGTACCCACATCTTTAAAATAAAAAAAATTATTTTTTAAAATAAAGTATTAAAATAACTATAAATAAAAATGTGTATGGGCACAACATAGATAGATATAAACTGCGACATCAATAACAAAGTGAGGTGGGAAGCACTAAAAGTATAGAATTTTTGTATGTGGTTGAAGTTAAGTTGTTTTTGCCTTACAATAGCTGTTAAAATTATAAAATAGTTTATGTAAGCCCCATGGTAACCACAAAGAAAATACCTATAAAAGTTACACAAAAGAAAAAGGGAAAGGAATCAAAGCATATCAATAAAAAAATGAAATAAACAAAACACCAAGGAAGACAGGACAGGAAACAAATTAAAAAGGACAAAATAACTAAAAAATAAATAAAACAAAATGGCAAAAGTCAATCATTCTCTATCAATAATTACTTTAAATGTAAATGGACTAAACTTCCCCACTCAAAAGATATTGAGTCGCTGAATGGAAAAAATAAACAAAACCCAATATCTACCTATATGTTTACAAGAGACTCACTTTACATTTAGGGACACACATAGGCAGAAAACAATGGAAAAAGATATTCCATACATGTAGTAACTAAAAGAGAGCAGAGGGGGCTATTTTGATATCTGACAAAATATAAGGGAAAAAAACTGTCACAAAAGACAATGAAAAGAGGGTCAATCTACCAGGAAAATATAACAATTATATACACACCCGATATAAGAGCATCTGAATATATAAAGCGAATATTGACAGATCTGAAGAGACAAATAGATTGCAATACAATAATAGTAAGAGAACAGTAGGAGAATAATAGTAGGAGAATACCCCACATTTAGTAACAGATGGAGTAGCCAGAGAGAAAATCAACAAAGAAACAGTGAACTAGAACACCATTATAGCCCAAATGGACCTAACAGACATTTACAGAACACTTAACTCAATGGCAAAAGAATATACATTTTTCTCAAGAACACACACACAAAATTCTCTAGGCTACATCATAGATTAGGTCACAAAACAAAACTTAATAAATTTAAGAAGATTGATA